CCCCCCCCCTTTCCCGTTTATCTCACAAGCTGTCAAATAAAGGGATAAAAGCCCCCCAAAAATACATTAAAAAAAGTCCAGAGAACTTGCAGAACTTCCATGGTGGACCAGAGTGTTTATATGAAGTGATGTGAGTTACTTAAATACATTTATTAAACTGCATTAATTATGTAAAATAAAAATAAAAGAACGTCAATTTGGGACGATAGCTGTTCAGTCTGGGACAGTTGCAGGACCTTTCGAGCCCTAAGTGACTACAGTTTTACCCTTTTCAACAGTTTCCAGATCAGATTGGTCTGGGGATTTTTCACACTGAATCAGCATGAAGATAGACACTGACGGAGTGAAGTGCATAAATAAAGAGTTCATTATTGTGCATAAGTAGTGTATAAAATGCCTTTTGGGTGTATAAAGGCCAAATGGGAATAAACTGTAATAATATTGTCTATCTTTGTAATAATCATGGACATAATATAAGCTTAATAAGAGGTCCTCCACCATAAAAAATAGATACATTTACAAGATGCTATAGCTGCTGTCTTAAGCTTTGGGCCACCCCAAACAATACCCCTGATAATAAGTGATATTATTGTAATATGATATAATTTATTCCCATGTAGACTTTTTATAGAAGCAGTGTCTGGAAACATGTGGAGGCCATGGGAACCGTGCTGGGTGAGGGAATGGTATTTCTAAACATAACTGACCTCTGCTTCTGTCAACTCATCTGCAGACAGAAGGTAATCTGAAGAATGTGTTCCCAAGCTGGAAAAGTTCATCACTCATCTGTTTGTTTGAGGCCTGTTTGTGTCTTTCTGTTGTTCTTTGCTGGAGATGTAAATAAAGTGATAACTGGTGGGTGTTTTCAATCCTTTATCGCTCTGGATATGAAAATATATATGGATTTACTGGACGCGGTAAAAGATTTCAGTTATTCCGTTTCAGTACATTACAACTAGTTGATTTTTTTTCCTATTTCAATTGTTACTATTTGCAAAAGCATATAAGGGTTAAATGGTAACAATATAAAAAAAAAACTTAAAAGTTTGGCTATTTTTATGATGATGGGATGGGTTTTCAGCTCTGATTGGGCAACCTTTTGTGAGTCCAATGGGGCAACACTTGTTGCAGTTTGACTTTCCTTCAAGTACTAAAGTAAATACTTAAACTTATTTTTAAGGCTTAAGACCTGATTTGGACTTCAAGGAAACGTCTGACATTTTGGGAAATCTTGATTAGACTGCAGAACCCATGGCCACTGCAGCAAAGACTTCACCTTGGTACATGGGTGAAGTCCTTGCTGCAGGCGAGCTACCAGGGCGCCCCCTGATTTGTTTTCTTGCTGAGAGTTAGATGAAAACCACTTTCACGTCTGTGCCATAAATACAGGCAGCAGCCGGTTAGCTTAGCTTAGCACAAAGGTAAGAAAATGTGCCTACCAGTGCCTCTAGAGCTCACTTATTAACACGTATCTCTTCTGTTAAATCCATCCAAGTGTAAAAATTACACGTTAACTAACCAGCTGCCGGCTTTAGCTTCATATTTAGAGAGTGTTATTCTCAAGTGAAAAGCATATGGTAAAAACTCAAACTATTCCTTTAGAAAAAAAATTGAATTTCAGTTTAGGTACTAGAACAATCGATCAGTCGTTTATGCTTTTGATTAAAATCAACATCAGCCTTCAGAAATAAGTTCCTGAAATGTACAAGAGAATCTGACTTAGACATTAAATATATGTTTTTATACCAGCTCTAATACTGCAGGTACAGACCCTAATGGAAAAGACTTCCCACCACAGGGAAACACACACTTGAGATGGACTTTATTTTCAGAGGTAAACACAATGATCAGAGTATCATTTGCACAGAATATTCCACTATAATAGTTTTAGAAATGAATATTGTGCCTCAAGGGGTTTACAACAGAATGTAAATTCTTTGTAATGTATATTAATAAAGGATTTAGGGGAAATATGCTTCACAATGGCTAAACAGCAGTTCAGCCAAGAAAAACTATTTGTGATGAAATACAGAAATAGGGTCTGTGTCCTGCACTCCTTGTTTTGGCCAGATTCACTCAGGCATCCAGTGACTCACCAGAAGGAAAATATGGAAAGAATTCCCTGGAGTCGGCACAACCGTGGTCTTGGTTAAACCCTCTGTTGTTCAGTTTGGCCTTGTTTGTGGCGATTGGGGATTGTCCGGTGAAACAGTGTTATTCTTCACTTACTGGCTTTATTGGAAAAGCAGTGACAAGCCGGACATATCTGGCATAGCTTCCTACAAGAGGCTTTGTCCACGAGATTAAAAGAACACTGGAGAGAATCACAACACGAAGCGTGGAGGTATTCTAACGTCCACATCCTGCCCTCCTGTCAGGGACCAGTGGAGCATGTTTTTGTTTTTCTCCTCACTCTGAAAGTTTGAATTTAGCTCACACAGAACAGGTGTATTTGCTGCGATTCTGAGATCCCCTGAGAACAGAATCAGATTACTCAGTGAGAAGATGGATTCTTGCAAGCTCAGAAATTAGACCTTTTCTTTTTTTTATCATGTTTTTCAATGTTTTGTTTGTTTGAAAGTCACACTCATCTATTTTGTTGACATACAGCTGCACAAATCAATATTGTCATATTAACTATGGGTCACAATATTATATGTATGTGAAAGGTGTAACTCGTGGTAACAAACCCATTCTAATGTAGCCAGGACAGGTACGCTTTTTTCTAACTCTATATGTTTAATCATGATAACTCAACTGACATCACTAGAGCCAATCTGTCAGATTTTGTGCCACAAAATGCTTTTGCTTATAAAAGGCTTATTCTAAGGTAATAAAAACATTCAAAAAAACGCTTCTTATTTTCAGGTGATTATACACTAATGAAAACATATTTATGAATATTATATTCCATTTCTGCTAATATATCCTCCTAAATGTTACGGACTGGACCTTTAAGTAGCAGTACCACAGAATAACAATATACTTGTCCAATACAAGTCAAGTCAGTCAAAATTTCACTTGAGCAAAAAAAAATGGATGAAATGTCTCTGTTAAATCTCTTTTTTCATGTTTGCAGATTCATAAAAAATAATACACTTAAATATATACTTTGTATTGTTTCTCTGTTGAGGAGAAACTGTTCTACAGAT